TCGCTTTACACGAAACGCCCCACCACTCACCTCGATCCTTGGAATGATGTTCTCACCATTCCAGTCTCGGTCCTCCTTGGCCTCCTCCACCCGTTCCTCAAGGAACAGCCGAGCCGTCAACGTGACCTCTCCTATACCGTCTCTTCACTCGGTCGCTACCATCTGGTGCTCACTTCCAGTTCGTTCCTAACAAGGGAGTGTGCTGCCGGTGCCCGTCAGGCCCTACAGAATCACTCACACATATCTTCTCGGAATGTGGAAATTCCATGGTTATCTTGGGTTCTCTCCAGCTTGTCGCTTTCGTGCATCTTGGGGTGGTTTCTGCCGAACACGTGCTCTTCCCCCTAGCTACCCTTGCCGGACAAGTCGCACCATGGAGCCTGCTAGTAGGAGCTGCAACCAAGACTATTTGGAACGAACGCTGTGCGTACAGATATGAGCAGGAGTCTTGTTCTCCGCTATACTCACTCCATCAGGTGCGGACCTTATTCCTTACTGCATGTAAGGTATTCTTTACACTCCGCCGTAGGCACTCTGCTAAACGTCACCGTAGCTCCCTTACCCGGCTCAAGTTCGCATCAACCAAGTGCCTCCTGGAATTTGACACCTTCGGTTTCCCACGGTTGCACGATTCACTAAGGAGCACGTGGCTTCTTAACGATTGCTTTAGGGCCCCCTAAATAATGTTTAGTTATCTCACTTTGCAGGGTAGGAGGAAGTTGCTTTCTTCTATCAGCCTTTTAGGCTGAACAGGTAGAGATGTTATATCGCAGATCGTCTTGATCTCTTAGACTTAGTTCTGTCCTTGTCCCCTGCACTGTTTTTGTGGGTTACAACCTTAAAACCTCCAACTCCGCGTGACTATCTATCACTCCTCCATCCTCTTTTCCTTGGGAAAGATCATACAGGGGCCGAACAATGCCAGAGGGGTGATCAAACAGGGGCCGAGAGGCCCGGAACTTACCAAACTGCTGCGCGAGGAGGGATTAACAGAGAGTGTTCGTTTATTGCACGTATTTATGTTACTAGTGGCATTTACCGGCTCGCATTGTGGCTCGCGTGTCGTTTAGCGAGCCAAAAAAAACTCATAGGGAACTCTTAGGGCAGCCAAAAAAAACTAAAACCCATAGGGAACCTGGATGCAATTTCGGGATGGATCAACCCTAAAAAAGGGACCTTCTTTGTATTTAGGGTTGATGCCTCCCGAGTAGCATCCGTTTCCGAATGGGTAATATTTGTTTTCCAGTGCATTTCCGATCGGGTAGGTGACAAGTATCACCCATAATATAATATGTTGTTACGTACTCTCGATTTGACATGCGGAATTTGTAATTCCAGAAGAAGGCGACGCGCGCGTTGTAGTAGACGGCGGTCAAAACCCTCAATTCAGAAAATGAACACGAAATTCGGTTCGTTTTAGCAATTCTCTTTTACTCACGGTTCGGTTTGTTCGCCTAGTCGTTTGGGCAGCTCCGGGTTGAAATCCTACGGTCGAGATTTACCAGTCCTACTTCGATCACCTCTCTGGCACTGTTCGGCCCCTGTATGATCTTTTCCCCTTTACGTTTCACTTCACTTCTGGAGAGGAATTTCTCAGATTTCAGTTTTCAGGCAGAAGCTGAAAGGCACATTTTTCATTGAACCCTATCAGCCAGCCAAACCCAACTTCCCATCTTGAGCTTCGTCTTCCTGCACTTGGGAAGCTGACCTTGCGATCTCTCAATTCTTGAGGATCTTCCCACATTCGCTTTGAACAATGGCTCAAGCGACTTCCGTCGCGAGGCTGAACGTCGCCTGCGCCGCACCAGCAAATTCCAGCGCTGCTGCCAGGCCGCAGCGACAAGAGGCGTCGCTCGTGGCATCATGGAGGAAGGCGCGCGTCGCCAGACCGGTGGTGCTCAGTGCCAGCGCGCAGGTGCAGGCCGCTCCCCGCGTGTCTGCACGCTCCGTAGCGGTGAAGGCATCAGCAGGCTCTGCTGACGAGGTAAATCAGTCTTGACCTGCCCTGACCTGTCCTGACCAGTTCTGAGGTGCCCGCATTGCACGGGCCCGCCGCTTCGCAAACCAGTCTCCTTTGTTTCGATAGTAGATTTTTCATTGCGAACAAACGTCCTTTCTACATTCGTCCACCCGTCCAAGCCCTCAACGTCGTACCTAGTTAGACACTGAAACTCGTGTTCTGTCTGCAATCCTCTCACCACGTTAGCCTCGCATCGCTTCGCTTCGCGTCGCGTCGCTTCGCTTCGCTTCGCTTCGCGTCGCTTCGCTTCGTCTCCCACGCATACGCGGCGTATCCCTCCGCATCCCGCGCGCGCGCGCGTGCAGGCGGGCGTCAAGTACCACTTCGTGGTGGCGAGCGCGACGTTCATGCTGGACGAGGAGGAGCACTTTCAGGAGCAGCTCAAGGAGCGACTTTTGAGACGTCTCAAAACTCCCACGCATACATACGCGTATCCCTCCGCGTCCCGCGCGAGTGCATGCAGGCGGGCGTCAAATACCACTTCGTAGTCGCGAACGCGACGTTCATGCTGGACGAGGAGGAGCACTTTCAGGAGCAGCTCAAGGAGCGGCTACGGTGGCTGGAGGAGAAGCGCACGGAGCAGAACTTCTGGCTCGTCTTCGAGCCCAAGTTCCTCGAGGAGTTCCCCGAGATCGCCAAGCGCGTCAAGACACCCGCCGTTGCTCTCGTCTCCACTGACGCTACCTGGATCACGTATGCCGCGCCTCCCTTCATCTCCCCTCTCCTCTCCTTATTAGCGCCTGCCCTTCTCTCCTTTCTCCCTCGTTATTCTCTTCCATTCCTCGAAGACTTCTCTTTTCCTCTTTCCGCTTTCCTCTCGTCCTCCCCTATCCTCTCGTCCTCTCCTCCTTTTCTATCCTCTCGTCCTCTCCTCCTTTCCTATCCTCGTCCTCTCCTCCTTTCCTATCCTCTCGTCCTCTCCTCCTTTCCTATCCTCTCGTCCTCTCCTCCTTTCCTATCCTCACGTCCTCTCCTTTCATATCCTCTCGTCCTCTTCTCGTATATCCTCTCGTCCTCTCTCCTCTTCTATCCTCTCGTCCTCCTCTTCTATCCTGTCGTCCTCGCCTCTCCTATCCTGTCGTCCTCTCCACTCTTCTCCTGTCGTCCTCTCTCCTATCCTCTCGTCCTCTCGTCCTCTCCTATTCTCTCGTCCTCTCGTCCTCTCCTCCTCTCCCCTCGTCCTCTCCTCCTTTCGTATCCTCCCGTCCTCTCCTCCTTTCCTATCCTCCCGTCCTCTCCTCCTTCCTGTCCTCCCGTCCTTCCCTCCTTTCCTATCCTCCCGTCCTTCCCTCCTTTCCTATCCTCCCGTCCTTCCCTCCTTTCCTATCCTCCCGTCCTTCCTCCCCTCCTTTCCTATCCTCCCGTGCTCCCCTCCTTCCCAATCCTCCCGTCCTCCCCTCCTTTCCTATCCTCCCGTCCTCCCCTCCTTCCCTATCCTCCCGTCCTCCCCTCCTTTCCTATCCTCTCTCCTCTCCTGTCTTCTCGTCGTCTATCTTTCTCTTCCCCCATCATCTCTCCCTGCTTCCGTCATTCGCGCGCTCGTCCTTAACCCCTGGGACATCTGGGTCCCGTAAACAACGGGATACATTTCGAATCGATTGCAACTGAGCCGCAATTTAGGAACTGTACCCACTGAAGCAAAACGACTTTTTCTTGTGGCATTGGAACAAATGTTGTTCCGTTACCTCAGCGGTTAAATGGGTGTCTCTCGGCCACTGTCGCTGCTGTAGATGCTTGCCTTGCCTCGCTTTACAAACATTTTCTACATCTTGGTTTTGTCTCTTTCCTCATTTATCGTCTCCTTTTTTTTTTTTCTCCCTCGTTTCCTCCTTTCGTATTCCCGTGCTCCCCCATCATAATCCTGCGTCCTCGTTCCCTCAACTTTCCCTCCCCGCTCGCTCCCTGTCACCCATACTGCGAGTCAAATCAAAACGGTTTGCTTTTCTTTCCGGAATCCACGACCGTATGGGTGTCGTGTCAGGTTCATGAAGCTGCGTCTGGACCGCGTACTCAAGGGCGAGTTCGAGGCGAGCTCACAGGACGACGCATTGGAGGGCAAGCCCTTTGACATCTCCTTCCCCAAGCCCGCCAACTGGGTCGCGCCCTACCCTAAATACGAGCCCACCTGGTGGAAGCCCTATGCCCCAGCCAAGTATGCCAAGGCCAACTAGACGGGTTTGGGCTAGGGAGTGGGTGTGCTGTGCTGTGCTGGGTTTGTTCTAGGGACGCGCTAGCGATGTGCTGTAAGTGACTTGTTGTCAGGCTTGACACATTTTTTTGGCGAGCTTGAGATGGTAGGGAAATGAATGTGAAGGAACCGTTGTGCTGTATGTCAGTTGCAATACCGTAACAGCCTCTACAGGTTGGCCCATCGCCCAAAGCATACGGTATTAATGAACAATGAGCTTAGATTCAACTCCTGTGCCCATCTTATGAAGCATAAAATACAAGACTGCCTAACCAGATTGCAGCAAGCGTTTCTGTTTCAAAATCTGGGCTCCCACACAGCGCTGCATGCAAGCTTGCTCGTCAAACTTCACTTTCCTGTGGGGCCAAGAGGAAGAGCGCCTCACAGAGCGCCAGCAGGTCCGCTGGCCTCAGCCGCTCAGGCCTCTCTATCCCCTTGGAGAAATCCCGCCCCACCACCACCTCCTCCATTGCCCGCGGCACCCCTGCACCTTGACTCCCTTCCCTTGACCCTGTTGACCCCCCTGACCCCCTTCCACCTCATCCATCCCTTCCACTCCATGGAGTGCGCCCACCATCCCACCCACAATAGCAGCATTTGTATCCGTGTCCCCCCCTCGCATCAGCGTGTCCTCAATAGCCTCCTCGTAGCTGGACCTCCGAAGTAGGTGGTAGAAGGCGAGAAGGAAGCCCCACTTCACCCACCCTATGAACAGAGTGCACCCCACTTGCAGCTCACACCCCTTGCCACCAGTGTGCTTGCTGGTGTCATTGCCTTGTGTGTCTGTCACACATGCCTGCGGCCCTTCTCCTCCATGCTCCACCCCTTTCTCCCCCCCCTGCTCTCCCCCCTTTCCCGCCTCTCCTGCCTTTCCCCTCCCACCTGCCCCCAGTGCGCCCATCACCTGCTGCAGCGCCTGCTTCCCCCACCCACCCACAGGCCCCCTGCCCGCCTCCCTGCCCTGACACGCTCCCTCTGCCCGCCGCTGCACCAGCCCCACTCGCTGCCCCGCTCCCCTCCCCACCCCCCTCCGCTGCCACTGCCAACCGCACGTGCTCCAGCCACTCACCCACCGTCTCAGCCCCTCCCTTTTTCCCTCCGCCCACCGCCAACATCGCACCTCCCCTTTTCCTTTCCCTCGCAGCCCACATCGCAGCCTCCTCAAACGCGCCCGCCGCATCCCCAGGGTGGTTGATGAGGTGCGCGATGGCTATACAGTAAGCAGCGGAGGCGGCGCGGCACGTGGGGTTGGTGTGCGAGAGCGACGCATCCAGAGCAGCGCACTGCGCAACGGCGTGCGGCTCGAAGCACTACCGGCACCGTCACCACTCCCGTCACCACTCCCGTCACCACTACCACCACCACCACCACGCCCAGCAGCACTCCATCTGGGGCCCTCAGTAGCAGCTATAGCAGCGGCTTCTACGGCAAGACTTACGGCAGCAGCTTCCGTGGTGATCAGAGTAGCGACAACAACGGCTCTCCTCTTGACTATCGCCAGCAGCAGCAACAACAACAGCAGCAGCAGCAGCAGCAGCAGCAGCAGCAGCAGCAGCAGCAGCAGCAGGTGTGGCAGCAGTCGTCGCTGAAGCCATACCCGCTCATGTGCGTGCTAGAGGCGTCTATGATGGAATACGCAAACCGATCCCCCTCCTGTCAATCCTCCTCGTCCTCCTCCCACCCTCCTCGCCTCAACCGAGGCCTTGGCAGCGGTGGCAGCAGTGGCGGCGCCAGCAGCCGCGGGTCTTTCGCGATCCGACGCACGTGGTCGACGGTATTCGACGCACGTGGTCGCAGGTATTCGACGCACGTGGTCGCAGGTATCCAACGGCTCTGCTTCGTCGCCGTACAGCAACAACAGCAGCACGACGCGTTCGCCCTGCGGCGGAAGCACCTCACCTGTTCTGGATGAGCTTTCGCCCGGGTTGGGATCTGGACGACTGCTGTCGCTGGAGACGCCGAGGCACCGGATTGGTCAGCGGCTGCAGAAGCACCTGCGCGATCGCATGTTCAGGGAATCGTTCTGGAGTCCTGCGCCGCCGCGCGACTCGCTTCCCAAGCCGTTCACGTTCAAGAAGCCTGAGGGCATCGGCGCCGCTGCCAACATCTCGCTCGTTCTTGTCGCGATTCTTGCTATCGTAGGTACGTGTGCTGGCGTCTCTCCCTCCAAAATACCCCATCCGCCCCTCGACCCTCCTTTTTCCTTTCCTCTCCCACCTTCCCTCATGCCCCCGCTCCCTCCTTTCCCTTACCTTCCCCCGGGTTCCCCCTCCCCATCACGTCCCCCATCTTCGCAAGGATTCTAGCAGTGATAGGCTTACCTCAACCATTAACAAATCACGGTTCTCCTTCACATCACGCCTCTGAGTTTCAACTGACTACCGCCTCTTGCACCCTGCTCACATGCTGGTCCCCTTGCCCATGGCATGTCCAATTTTTTTCCCATGTCTGCCCATGTGCGCACCACAGGAATGACCATTGCGCTGGCCATGGCTTCCATGCCAATCCTGGGGCTCATCGAGTCGTACTTCACAGGAGAGCCCGCCAGCCTCTCCGCGCTCTTCCCCCATCCGTACTCCTCGTTCGCCCACATGGGCGGGGGCGGAGAGGAGTCCATGATGGTCACAGGCGGCTTTGGCTCGGGCCTCATTTGGTGAGACGCATGATGGTGATCCAACAGCAGCCTGCCTGCAGCTGCTGATATGAGGCTCCGAGAGAGATTGATGTATGAAGTTTGTTGACTTGTGGGTGGTGACCGCGACTGTGTCACTGGCTCATTTTTCACCCAGCTGGGTTGGCCTTTCCGTGCTTCCTTTCTTCTCTCTCCTCTTCCTCCTCCTCCTCCTCCTCCTCCTCCTCCTCCTCCTCCTCCTCCTCCTCCTCCTCCTCCTCCGCCTCCTCCTCCTCCTCCTCCTCCTCCTCCTCCTCCTCCTCCTCCTCCTCCTCCTCCTCCTCTTCATCCTCCTCCTCCTCCCCTCGGTCTTTCACACTCCCCCCGTTTTCTTGACTGTCTTCCGGCTATTTTTTCATTGACGTTACCTTGTGTCAACATTTTGTGGGTAGGGGGTGTGCCGATGGGGAGAACTGCCATCTCTCCAAGGTGCTTCTAGCAGCGGCACTAGGCCTATCCGCGCTGCTCGTTCTGCTCATGAGCCTTGCATTTTTTGTGGATAATGTCCTTTCCAAAGTTCTGGGGCATGCCATTCAAGGTATGCGTTGGGTTCTGCGTGAGCCATTGTACATAATGGGGTTTGGCGCTGTCTTTTGAACTTGTTATTCATTGGTTTGACAGCTTCCACACAACACCAATTAAAGAGAAGGTTGTCAGAGAGCCATATTGGCTTTGACTGGAAATTTCGTCTCTATGGCATGCGGCAGATTTGGCGGATGTGGAAAGGTGGAAGGGTGGAGTTACTTGCTGGAAGCCCATCAGATTATGAAGTGAGACACCGAGGCATGACATTCTCTTTATAACAACAAGAAATGCATTACCTTCGAAGATCAATTACGAGTCCTACAAGGACATATTCGCTGAAATGGTATTAGCGACTGCATTACAACCAGTAGCCTGTTGAGTCTGTATATCAGTAGTTATAACCACACTCCCTTCCTAAATCCAACATCGAAAACACTTTCAGCGAGGAGAAAGGAATCCGTTTCATGGGCTTCCAGAGTGTCACAGAGCTCCGCCATTGGCTCAGAAGTTACGAATAATCTACATGTGTCCGAGGGCCTGCGGCGCTGTCAACAACAAGCAAACCGCGCCGGAAAATGACACTCCGTAATTGGTAAAGCTTAAATTGTCTATGTAAACCTACGTGGCCTCCACCTGTCAGTTCCAGCTCGTCGCGCAGCGTCTGGAAGAGTTGACGATGAGGGCCAGGTCCGCGTCATGAAATCCTCGAGCACGGAAGAGTTGACGATGAGGGCCAGGTCCGCGTCATGAAATCCTCGAGCACAGCATTTGCCCCCTCCAACTCCGCGTGAGACCAATGTGCGAGAGGCATCGGTACATGAAGTGTCGGTCGATCAGATGTCCGTACTATTGCATGCGACACTCCTATTCGGTACTATCAATGAAGTGGCATTGTCACGACACTACTATGCGACACTTCTATTCGGTACTATTCGGTACTATTCAGCCAGGCATGAAGTGTCGGTCGACCAGCCCTGTCGCACACCATGTTGTCGAGTAGGAGACACCATCAATGACACACTCGATGTGATCGACTGGGCAACCACCCAGTCTCTTCCCGTCCTTGTTCTCACTGTTGACATCCGCAAGGCATACGATCTGGTCGACCGTCACTTCATGTGCCGATGCCTCTCGCACATTGGTCTCCCCGATGTTTTTATCCGTTGGGTTCAGCTCCTACACTCACACACTCAAACGCAAATCTCAGTCAATAATTTATGTGGACCTCTATTCCCCGTGGTCTTCGGGGTGCGACAGGGCTGCCCACTGGCCCCCTTGCTCTACATTTGCGTTATTGAGGTTTTACACCGTCACCTCTTAGCCTCATTGCCCGGCTTTTTGCTCTCACGTACACAAAGGCGACTGGCAGGATGCTACGCAGACGACATCTCCATCTTTCTCAATTCCAACATGGAACTTCGACTTGCGAAAGAACGTCTGCGCACCTTCGCTCTAATCTCTGGCGAACACCCCAATTGGGGGAAGTGCTCCATCCTTCCCATCCATCTCCAACCTGATCTCATTGCTGACTCCGGTGACATCCCCATTCGCCAGCTAGATGAAGCCGAAAGAATTCTTGGAGTATTTATCCAGCAACACTCCCCGGGATCAGCAACGTGGGAACATGTTACCGCACGCGCCCGTACGACGGCTAATGCGCTATCCAAATTCAAAGCAACAACGACTTGTCGTAAATTGCTCGCTACTGAGAGGCTTAACTCCCTCTTCTCCTTCAGCGGTCGCTTTCAACCCGCCCCGGTTTCGGTGGTACAACAGTTGGAGATAATTGTAAGATTTTTTCTCTCCTCCTCCGAGTACACGGACTCGGGTCGAACTGTTCGCCTCATCCCCAAACGGCTCCTGTTTAATACTAAAAAAGACGGTGTCTTGGCGCGATTGAACCATCCTTACAACTTCGAGCGCTAAATATACAACGCGGACTGCGACGTTTTCTGCCGACCCCATATGAGGATGTCGCACGGACATGTGTCCCTCTTCCATACGGTCTGCACTGCTTTCTGCTCCACCCTGATGTCCTGAAGGTCCTCCCGTCCTGTACCCCACTACGCGCCCGGGCGGAACTTGTAAGCCTTTTGGGCTCCACAATGAAAATCACCCCTCCACGTTTGGAACCCTGGGTCCTACTGGCCGAACCCTTAGCGTTCAATCGCTTTATCTGCAAGGCCGACGGTTCGAGCTTCAGCCGTAAACCCAACGAACGCTTCCTGCTGACTGGACAACTGCGAATCGGGCACCTGCTCGCTCCTACGACACATGGCACCCGCCGTCTCACCTCTTCCGAATTCAAATTGAAATACCCACCGAAGAAATTCCCGAGTGGTCGACGGATTTTCCAAGACATCTTTAAGGCCATTCCTGTCAGAATGAGGACAACAGAATGAATGAACTATGCAACAATGGGATACAAGTAGGAAACCCTAATTGGGTTATCCCCTCTAGAGGGAACCTCACTGTAGCCTACAAGCTAACAAACATATAGTTTGACACACCCCCATAGGCAAAGTGAGGGATAGCCAACACAACGAACGGTCACAAGACCAGTCAAGCAAGAGAACAAAGCAAAGCAAAGCTCAGGGTGGATCTCAAGGACACCACACACTCCGAGCACAAGCAAGCGGCCACAAGGCCAGTTCACATGCAGAGTTATAATAACAAGGCAGTACACTGATTACAACCTAGCAAGAGTAAACATGCAGGTATAAACATATATATCAGTGTACAACAAGTGCAATGCAAGATCAAGAGACAAGCAAGTGAGGCAGAGTGGGCAGAAGCCCAAGAGAAGTGCCGAAACGTTGATGATCACTAGACCCAAGGGTCTTGGTGAAGACATCAGCAGTGTTGGCCCGAGAGGCCACGTAGGAAAGGTGGAGCTGACCACGCTGCTGCGGCTCTCGAGCAAGAAAGTAGCGAAGAGCATGTGCTTCGTTCTGTGCTCCAGTCTCTGCTCGTGACACAAGGCAAGCATGGCCTTGTTGTCGACGTACAGAACTGGAGGAGAACGAGGCCGCTCCCCCAAGTCGGTCAGCAGGTAGGTCAGCCAGCGTAGCTCCTGTGCAGCCATAGCCCCAGCGTAGATCTCGGCCTCACAGCTGGAACCAAGCACAGAAGACGAAGGAGTGGACCTCCACGAGACAGAGCCAGAGCCGAGACTGAAAGTGTAACCCTCTGACGACCACTGAGTCGCCTGGTCGTCAGCCCAAGAAGAGTTGGAGAGTCCTGTGAGTACCACTGAGTCCCGTCCTCCAAGCACACGCCCCATGCCCGATGTACTGCACAAGTAACGCAGTACCCTCTTAGCAGCTTCCCAGTGCTCCTTCCGGTATCTACCGGGAGCAACGTAGCGAGCCAGGAGGCTGAGAGGGTACGCGAGGTCAGGTCGTGTGCATGTCATCAGGTACATGAGGCAACCCACAAGCTCTGGATATGGACCACTCGGCTCTATGGACTCGTCCGAAGGTGGAGCTGAGAGCGAGTGGCCAGTAGGCAGAGGAGTGGGATGTGGCGAGGAGAACTGGAAACCGAAGCGCTGAAGGACCTGCTGCACCATGTGTGACTGAGTCAGAGTGATGGTGCGCCTTGCTCTGTCCCGGGTGATCTGCAAGCCAAGATAGCTGTGCAGCTCACCCAGGCCAGTGCAAGTGTGTCTCTTCTGCAGCTCCGACTTCACAAGAGTCAGTGCCTCAGTGTTAGTAGTAGCAAAGACCAAGTCGTTGACGTACACAAGGATGTAGAACGGCCGCAGGGAAGTGTCAGTGCGCAGAAACAGTGACAAGTCAGCAATCGAGGGAGCGAAGCCAAGAGCCGCAAGTGTCGTCATCAGTGTGTCGTGCCACTCTCGGGGCACCTGACGTAGGCCGTAGATTGGCCGTCGTAGGCTCCACTGGGTGCCCTCAGGAAACGACCCAGTGAAGCCAGGTGGGCGGCGCAGCCAGATGTCCTCGTGAAGGGTGCCCTGTAAGAAAGCAGTCGAGAAGTCGAGGGAGTGCAGCTCGTAGTCACGCTGTGCTGCAACGTGCAGCAGCACCCAAAGAGTGGTCATCTTCGGGGTAGGGGAGAAGGTCTGAAAGAAGTCGACCCCCTCACGCTGAGTGAAGCCTCGAGCAACGTAGCGAACCTTGAAGGCAGGAGGAGAACCAGGTGGCCGCTTCACCCTGAAGTTCCACATGCCATCGACAATGTTCGCCCCAGGAGGGCGAACCTCATCAACGTAGGTGCCTGTGGACTTCCAGGAAGCCATCTCTGCGTTCATGGCTGTCTGCCACTGAGAGGAGTACTCAACCGAGATCGCCTCTACGTAAGTGCGTGGGGTGGGGATGTCCAGTGCATCCGGGTCTCCCTCGGGGCAAAGCAGCATGGCAGCGAGATGCGGTGAAGTAGCCGCTAGGTGCTCAAGCTCAAAATGTCTGTCCTCAAGAACGTCATAGCAAAGGGCAGTCTCACCCCCGACGGACGGAGGACAGTCAGAGTAAAAAACAAGACGCGCAGCGTAGTCAAGACGGCACATAGCAGCAAAGTCAACAAGCTCAGCTACTAAGGCAGTCGCAGCAGGGGACGAAAACGAAGGGTCTGTCACACGTGGCAAGAAACAGAGTGAAAGTCGGACTGGCAGCACGAACAAGGTCAGACTCAGGGTCAGGCACGTGAGGAAGAGAAGGCGCATGAGGTGACGGCAGGACAACACGCTGTGGAACAGAGGAAGGACAGAGTGCCATAAGGGGAGTGCCTGAGACAGCCGGAGCACGAGGACGAGCAACACGACGAGCACGAACAGGTGTGGAAGCACGAGACTCAGGCTCACGACGCTCAGTCAGGGAGTCTGGCAGCTCAGTGTAGGGAGAAGGAGCAGGCAGTGTGGAGCCAGGCGGCAGCTGTGTCTGAGACGGGTCAGCCGGTGGACACAGGAGAGGCGGAGTGAGGTCAGTGGAAGACGGAATACTAAGAACCTGGCGAAGGGCCGAGCCAGCAGGTGGTAGAGACGACTGCGACGGCGGCAAGAAAAACGGTCGCCGCTGCGCAGTACTCACATTACCAGCACCTCCAGCACCAGCACCTCCAGCACCTCCAGCTCTAGCAGCACCTCCAGCTCCAGCAGCACCTCCAGCACCTCAAGTACCAGCAGCACCTCCAGTACCAGCAGTACCTCCAGCTCAAGCACCTACAGCACCTCCAGCAGCTCCAGTACCTCCAGGACCTCTAGCACCAGTAGCACCTCCAACACCAGAAGCTCCAGGACCTCCAGCACCAGCAGCTCCAGTACCTCCAGTACCTCCAGCACCAGCAGCACCTCCAGCACCAGTAGCACCTCCAGCACCAGCAGCACCACCAACACCAGCAGCTCCAGCACCGCCAGTACCGCCAGCACTAGCAGCACCTCCAGCACCAACAGCTCCAGCACCGTCAGCACCAGCAGCTCCAGTACCTCCAGTACCTCCAGCACCAGCAGCACCTCCAGCACCAGCAGCTCCAGCACCGCCAGCACCAGCAGCTCCAGTACCTCCAGTACCTCCAGTACCAGGAGCACCTCCACCACCAGCAGCGCCAGTACATCCAGTACCAGCAGCACCAGTACCCCTAGCACCTCCAGCACGAGTAAAACTATAACCTCCACCACCAAGACGGCCTCGCCGCACGACCCATTCGCGAAGCTGCTCCGGCGAGAGCGTCCCGTATCGACTAGGCTGCTGTTGCTGTCCAACGCCAGGACCTACAGCAGGAGCACCCACAGCCCCACCACCACCAGGACTCACAGCACCACCAGAGTCAGCACCCCCAGAACCTGCACCCCCGGTCATAGCACCCCCAGGACCAGCACCTCCAGAGTCCTCACCCCTAGTGTCACCACCCCCAGCAGCACCAGAGTCCACAGCGACAGGCTGCGGAGGCGGTGAAGACGGTCGAGGCGGAAAACCAGGAGGGGTCTCCAAGCGTGGAGAGCGGCGAGTGGCCGCCGTGTTGTCAGCGGTGGGGTCACACCCCTTAGCTGGGCCAGAGGAGTCAGAAGAGATCTCCAAAGGCTCAACCAAGGGGGGTGGGTCTACCTGAGACACACCTGAGGGAGCAGGACCCTGTGGGGGGAGGGGGTCTACCAGGGGGGGAACTAGAATCAGAAAGAGGGGCGGGGCAGCGAGTGGGGAAGACACGTGCGGGTGGAGACGGTAGAAGCAGACCGACTCGTCAAAGGTGACGTCCTGTGAGGACAGGACTCGGCGCGAGGCAGGGTGGTAAAACTGCCAGGGCGGGGCGTCGGTGGGGAAGCCCAGGAAGACGCAGCGGAGAGTGCGAGGAGAGAGCTTGCTCGCGGTGGTATCGCAGACAAGGGAGAGCGCGCCCCAGACCCGAAAAGCCGACGCATCGCCAACCTGTCCTGTCCAATATAGTGTGGGCGAGGTCTCTGGCACAGAGACACAGGGCCAGAGGTTAAGCTGATGCGCGGCGTATCGGACCGCAAACAGCCACAGAAAACGGGGAGCAACCGCATGGATCATGGAGGTGCGAGCAACCTCCATGATCAAGCCAATGCGGCGCTCAGCAGTCCCATTCTGGTGTGGAGAGGCTGGAAGTGTGAACGACTGGGTGATGCCCTCCGCACGACAAAAGTCCTCAAGGAGGCCGGATCAAAACTCACCGCCTCTGTCAGAGTGCAGACGTAGGACCTGGAGGTCCTGCTGAAACCCTGCACTCAGCTGGTGACGAACAGCGATGATCCAGTCGATCAAAACACCGTGGACATCCGCCTTGCTCCGCAAGGGGAAGACCGTGGTGTAGGGCGTGTAGTCGTCAACTACCAGCAGAAAGTAGCGCTCCTGGTCATGTCCACGGATGCGTGCTGGGCCCCACACGTCCATGTGGAGAGTCTGGAGAGGAGCAGTGGTCGGCGGAAACGAGGAGGAGTGAGGAGCGGCGCGCTGCCGCCCCTCGACGCAGGGAAGGCACGGCGGTCCACGCGAGCGCGGGAGCGGGGGCAGGGACCTGGGGAGGCCAGAGACAAGGAGACGCGAGTGCATGCCACGCAAGCGCGGCAGCGGGGGGTGACTAATACGGTGGTGCCAGAGGAGAGTCAGGTGCGAGAGTAGCCGACACGAACAAGACGCAGCTAACTGACCCGACGCAGCCACCTGACCTGACGCAGCTACCTGTGCAGACTCAGTGGTCAGTGTGTACAGGCCTGACCCAGGGCTCCGAGTGAAAGTGGCGAGGTGCTCGCTAGTGCGTGAGTCTGTACAGATCGCCACAAGCTCACCCCCAGGAGTAGTCACAGTGACAAACTGGTTCTGGAGGACAGCGGTACTCACCAAGTTCTTAGAGAACGAGGGGAGGTGGAAACCTGTGAGGGAGCTTGAGTGGGCTGCCGGACACGGGAGAACAGTGGAGGCACGTGCTACGACTGGGCCCCCAGAGGGGTCAGCCAGAGAGACCGGGACCGGTGCAGTGAGCGGTGTGACTATGGTGCAGTCGCGGAAGAAGCAGCGAGTCGCGCCTGAGTCAAGCGTGAAGGTGTGCAAAGCATCCACAGAAGTTGCACCTGTGTCACCAGGCTTACAGGCAGAGAGGGTCTCCTGCTGACGCTGCTGCCGCTGCTGCCTAGTACCTCCAGCACCATAACCTCCACCACCAGGACGGCCTCGCTGAATAACCCACTCACGAAGCTGCTGTGGCGAGAGAGTCTCCTGGCGACGAGACTGCCGCTGCTGTCCAGTACCTCTAGTACCTCCAGGACCATAACCTCCACCGCCAGGACAGCCTCGCCGAATAACCCACTCGCGAAGCTCCTGCGGCGAGAGAGTCACCGGCTGACGCTGTTGCTGCTGCTGTCCACCCCCAGACGCTGCTACAACCGTGATAGTGGCCATGACTGGCTGTGGCAGTCAGTAGCAGTGGCGCAAGGGCGTCAGTAGTGACTGCAGTAGCTCCATCTGTAGCAGTAGCGATAGTCTCTGTAGTGGCAGGTGCTGGGACTGTAACAGCAGTAGCGACTGGGCGATTGGGCGTGCGTGCATGCGAGACCAACATAGACATGTGCAAAATGACGCTTCGTGTGCCCTCTTTCACTTTGTTAGCGAGGATACACTTTTGGGTAGGTTGGGGTTGACAAAAATAAGTGTCCTTGGCAAAATCGGAGCACAAAGGCACAAAAGCACATACCTAGGAAAATCACCGATGCAAACTGTACCAGAGACAAATGATAGACATTTGTTCCGCTTGATTCATACACACCCTTCCATCCCAACACACCAAATTTACCACGTCTGTCCCCAACTCCCCTCACACACCAAGGAACGTTAATATACCTGTTCAGTTGTCCCCTGGCCCGCTTCACGCGCTTTCGGCACAAGAGTCGGTGAGTGACACCATTGATTGGATACACCCCTCCCACCCCTACCCCCACCCCATTCTCCCCTCCGGTCCTCACCCAGGTGACACTGGACTACCTAGCCAGATGCCACCTGTCCCATCTCACCCGCTTCCGGCACAAAAGGCGGCACGAGCGGGGCGTGGGGGTGAGCGACTCGCTTCTGCTACGGCTGATGCTGCTCTGGCCGGGGCTGGAGGAGCTGGTGCTGGTGGATAAGGCAGAAGAGGGCGTGGGGCAGGGCAGAGCAGAAGAGGTGAGTCAGGCCACACGAGGGAGGTTGGGGGGTGGGTGAGTGATGTGATGCTGCTGTGGCCGGGGCTGGAGGAGCTGGTGCTGGTGGATAAGGCAGCAGAGGGCGTGGGGCAAGGGGGAGTAGAAGAGGTGAGTCAGGCTGGTTGGTTGTATAGGTGTGATGAGAGTGGGGTGTGGGGTGGGTCAGTGATGCAGTGCTGCTGCTACGGCTCGTGCTGCTCTGGCCAGGGCTGGAGAAGCTGTCGATTAGCATCAGCCATTGTCACACTGGTCTCCTAATGCTAACCGCCTGGGCTTCCTCCCTCACACTCAATCTGTGCTCTCCTTCCCTTCCCTCCCTCCATCCTTCACCTCTCCACCCAGCAGGCCCTTTCATACACCGGTCTCCTAATGCTAACCGCCTGGGCTTCCTCCCTCACAACCCTCACTCTCACCCTGCCCTCCCTCTCTGCTTCAAAACGCTGCTCTGAAGTGGCGCTAATGCAAGGTAAGCGTGGTTCAGTGCGGTGGAGTGTGGTTGAATGAGATTCACCAGTTTGGGTTTGAGCTCACATCCGTCACTCTCAGCCTGCCCTCCCTCTCTGCTTCAAAAAGCTGCTCTGAAGTGGCGCTAATGCAAGGTAAGTGCGGTTCAGTGCGGTGGAGTGTGGTTGAGTGAGATTCACCGGTTTGGGTTTGAGCTAACATCCGTCACTCTCAGGCTGCCCTCCCTCTCTGCCTCGAAAAGCTGCTCTTAAGTGGCGCTCATGCAAGGTGAGAGCGGTTCAGTAAGGTGAAGTGTGGTTGAATGAGATTCACCAATTTGGCTTCCTCCCTCACAACCCTCACTCTCAGCCTTCCCTCCCTCTCTGCCTCGAAAAGCTGCTCTGAAGTGGCGCTAATGCAAGGTAAGCGCGGTTCAGTGCGGTGGAGTGTGGTTAAATGAGATTCACCAGTTTGGGTTTGAGCTCACATCCCTCACTCTCAGCCTGCCCTCCCTCTCTGCCTCTAAAATCTCCTCTGAAATGGCCCTTATGCTAGGTGAGCGACTCAGTGCGGTGGAGAGTGGTTGAATGCAGTTCATCGATCTGCCAGGGGTGAGAGTAAGTAAGTCCAGTGAGAGTGGTGGAGAGTGGTGTAGTGCGGTACGTGCGGTCTAGCAAGACCTGGTGTGAGGTGGTGAAGCTACATGGGTCGTGCCATGAATGCCTTGAATGCCTTGAATGCCTTGAATGCCTTGAATTCCTTGAATGAATGCCTTGAATGAAAGGGCAACACTGAATGCATGCACACAACGCACGTGTTTTGGACCTCGCTCTTTCAGTGTTGCCCTTCACTGTCAATTCCATTCCAACCCCCATCACTCATCATCACCATATCAACTCCAGTGACCAGTGAATGCATGGTGCACCACTCTCACTCATCTCGACCTCTCGAATTTCACATACATGTCTGAATCGCCTCTTCACGAGCTTGAGGCTGTGAATCGGGTGATCTCCACCTTCCATCTCCCATCTCCCAATACCTGAATCTCAAAATCTTCCCAACTCCCATTTTCCATCTTCCCCTCTCCCCTACAGTGGCCAGTGCACCAGCTTCCATCTGCTATCCTCCCACTGCACCCCACCTCTTCCCCTCCCCACCCCAGTGGCCAGTGCGTGCACCAGTTTCACCCACCTCGACCTCTCCAATTTCATATGCATGTCCGACCCGCCTCTGCACGAATTCGTCTTGGTGAGTCATTCGGGTACTTCTTGCACTCATAGTATTTGTTCAGACAACGAAACCAACCCTGCAGTTCAGATGGGATCGTGGGGGGATGCCTGCTCTGCTCCCCCATTCATCTCTGTGATTTGCGCAGGTAATTCCTACATTTGTTTTAATTTTAGAATCCCTGCCCCACGCGCTCTCTCTCAATCACATAATCTCCCATCCCTCATTTGCACTCATTTCCCTTCCCTGCATCTTCCCCCCCCCTCCTCAGCGCTGCCCCTCTCTCGCCCATCTGTCCTTAGCCGGTGCACCCATCTCCGATGCCTGTTTGGACGTCATAGCCTCGCACTTTCTCCTTCCCCACATTTTCGCCTCGTTTTCTCTCTCTCCTGTGTTCTCTTCCCATCCCCAGCGCTGCCCCTCTCTCGCCCATCTCTCCCTAGCCGGTGCGCCCATCACCAATGCCTCCTTGGACCTCATTCCTTATCTCTGTCCTTGTTGCCCTCCCGTCTATTCTGTTATCTCGCCCACCCCCATTAGCAGCGCTGCCCCTCGCTCGCCCATCTCTCGCTAGCCGGTGCGCCCATCACTGATGCCTCCTTGGACCTCATAGCCTCACACTGCCCCAGCCTCGAGCCTCTTTCCATCAAGTGATGTCGCAAGGTGAGTTCCGGGACAGGTGGGGCGTGTCTGTCGCTGGGCATGCGTAACTTCCGTCGAAGTAGTGGTAAATCATCGCGGTTTGCAGCAATAGCTCCAGCTCGAAGCTCCAAGTGTAAAAGGTCCTTCCTGTCAAACACGGTGCTTGTCTGGGTTTTTGATATATTTAGAAACTTGGATTGAGCTGAGAGGATGGCATCATCACTTGGACGGGGGGCTTTTGGTGTTGATATGATTTCGAGACGCCTTGACACATGTTTACACATGAGACGCCTCATTGCATCGCACTGCCCCAGCCTCGAGTCTCTTTCCATCAAGTGCTGTCTCAAGGTGAGCTTGGAGCGAGGTGGGGAGAGGTATGGTAGCGTGAGGCAAAGTGAGGCGAGGTGACACGAGGTGAGGTGAAGTGAGGTGCGGTGAGGCAAGATGAGGCAAGATGAGTTGAGGTGAGGTGAGGTGAGGCAGCTGTTGAACACAAAGCATGCCTCTGGAGACCTCGCTGCATTTCACTGGCCTCGACTGTTAACCTTAAACCCCGTTCTTCCTTTGACCTCTTGTCTTGTTGTTGTCTTTACACCCAGCTGCTTGAGCCGGGTGTCAGCGCATTGGCTCGTTGCTCTCGGTTGGTGTCCCTTAACGCTGCTCTGGTGCCCGGAGTGACAGAAGTCTCTGCTCCGCTCCTATTTCAGGGAGTCACAGCACTAAAAACACTGGTGAGAGAAATGGCTTTCTTGGAAAAAGAGGCGACTTCTGAGGCGCCTTTAACTTGGTGCTTGGAATCTGAGAAGTGATAGATCCTCCCACGTTCCAAGGAATCATTGCGTTGAAAACACTAGTGAGAGAAACTTTTTGTTTCTGGTGAAAGAAACAACTTTTGAGCCAGCACTCTCTACTGTGATTTTCTCCCCGCACATCCCCTTTGTCCCATCAAGTGCCGAACCAACTACCAGACACCTCGTAATTATCTCTCTCCATTGTCACTTTCTATTGCTTCCCCGCACATCCCCTTCGCCCCATCAGGTGTTGAACCAGAGCCCACTACCGAACACCTCGTTATTGCCACTCTCCTCTCATTGTCACTCTCTGTTGTCATGCTTTGCCACTCTCTATCTCCCCTCTTCACTTCCGCTTTGTCCCATCAGGTGCTGAACCAGAGCCCGCTACCAGACACCTCGTTATTGTCACTCTCATCTCATTGTCACGGTCTGGAGGAGCTGGCACTGCACGGCTGCCCCAGACTCACCAATGAGGTGGGAAGACACAGAGGGTTGTCGGGGGGTGGAAGAGAGATCCTTCATGAGCGAGATAGGATGGTATGGTGTACATGGCACGGGCGTGAGAGGATTTCAAGGTGAGCCTGGGGCAGCCCGTGAACATGGCATGGGCGTGAGAGGATTTCAAGGTGAGCCTGGGGCAGCCCGTGAACATGGCATGGGCGCCCGTGAACATGGCATGGTGTACATGGCACGGGCGTGAGAGGATTTCAAGGTGAGCCTGGGGCAGCCCGTGAACATGGCATGGGCGTGAGAGGATTTCAAGCTGAGCCTGGGGCAGCCCGTGAACATGGCATGGGCGCCTGTGAACATGGCATGGTGTACATGGCACAGGCGTGAGAGGATTTCAAGGTGAGCCTGGGGCAGCCCGTGAACATGGCATGGGCACCCGTGAACATGGCATGGTGTACATGGCACAGGCGTGAGAGGATTTCAAGGTGAGCCTGGGGCAGCCCGTGAACATGGCATGGGCGCCCGTGAACATGGCATGGTGTCCATGGCACGGGCGTGAGAGGATTTCAAGGTAGGATTGGCTTATTACTGCTCAAACGAAGGTTGTAACACCAAACTCCTCCGACCCACTCTATCCCATACAGCAGGCTGCTCAAAAGCAGCTTACTGCTCCCAAACTCTGTCATCTTCACGTTCCTCTCCCTCCTCTCCTAACCCTTGCTTCACTGCTTTCTGTCCATCCCATCTCCCCCACCCTCCTACCCCCCTCCAGGGTTTGAAAGCTCTTGCCACCTCCTGCCTTGCCCTCCGCTATCTCTCCCTCAGCTTCTGCAATCAAGTCTCAGATGCCGGAATCATATCCATTGCCAACAGATGCCGCCACCTCATCAAGATTCGATTGGACGGCTGCCGCCAGCTGTCCAATCCAAGTGTCAGGGCTCTCTGCCGCCCAGCCTGGGCCCAGCAGGTTTGGCCGGAGCAGAGTCCAGTCCAGGGGTCAAGTCCGGGTGCAAGTGTCGGGGAGGTTTTTCGTCTGCCGGGGGACCAGAGGCAGCAGCCAGCAGACCAACCAAGAACAGCCCCATCACCCCCACCACCTCCCTCCATCCCAGCTTGTACCCAAGACCCTGACATTCATCCATCACCACTCGTCCGTAATTCCTCTGATAGCATAGAACGTCCCAGAAGCAGCAGCCAGCAGGCCAACCAGGAACAACCCCATCACCCCCACCACCTCCCCCCACCCTAACCTCCCCCCTTCCCTCCACGGCCCACCCATGAGCTTCACATAACACGCACACGGGAGCATAACAGAGATGGAAAGCGACAGGAAGCTTCCTATGAAGGCCATGACGAGCCCGAAGAACGGGACGGAAAGCGCCACCGCGACAGCGCCAGCCACTAGTGCCGTCCGGAGGGCCGTGGCTGACACTATGTGCTGCCATGAATCCACACCCATTCCCATGTCCATACCCTTGCTCATATCTGTTTCCGCTCCTGCTTCCGTTCCTGCTCCCATGCCTGTTCCCGTGCCTGTTCCCATGCCTGTTCCTGTGCTGCCTCCTTCCATGACGTCAGCATCACCTTCATGAGTCACAGTGCCCTCTTGGGTAGAGTGAGAATGTGAGTGTGAGTGAGAATGTGAGTCAGGGTGAGGGAGTGAGTGAGGGTGGGCTGTGGGGAGTGTTTCCTCTAAAGCCAGCGCGATCGGCAGCAGGGTAAGTGCAAACTTAGTAAACGGATTCACCACTGTAGTCCAAACCACCGCCTTGGAAGCACTAAGTGCCGGCGGCAAGTTAAGCGTGATCTGTGATTGGACGGAAGCGCCGAACATGGCGTACCCCATAAGAGCCATCCCGCCATAAAGCAGAGTGCACGCCGCGAAACTCACGAGCATAACCGGTGTAAAATGGTCGGGTTTTTTCATCGATCGGTAAATATTTGGCACGACCGCGTGCCCGGAGAAACAGAACCCGAATAAACCGGCTGCTGCTGGTAACCCCATGGGTTTGAACCACTCTGTAGTGCTGCTGATGCCGCCTGGAATATCCCCGATATGGTCAACCTCTTTAAGCCATCCCACGCCGAAGACTAAAAGTAGGGATGCCAGTACACCTCCTGCTGAGATATACGCGAGAAGACTCAGGTCTCTTAGCCAGACGGTGGGGAGGACTAATAACGCGGATAGAATGACGTAGAACTGCTTCGGTTCTAGGCATAGGTTGCCTGCTCCTGTAGCTAACGATATTGCCTCTAATGCTGGTTCTATCCCCCTCACAACCGCTGATGACAATGCTGCTGCTGCTCCAAACAACCCTTCCCTTTGCCCCTCTCCTCCTCCCCCTCCCACCACTCCTCGTGCTATTCCTTCCAGGAACCACACTCCACCACTCTCCACCCCTCCACTGCTCCCCTTCCCAACCAGGCTCCCCGGAAGCAGACAAATATCGCCGGACGGGAACAGATGCGCGAGATTGTCCCCCTCTAGAATCAACAGCTCTACAGTCACAGCGAACAATTCGAAATAGAGCAGAAACGCGGTCAGCCATCTCCCCGCGCGCCCGAACGCCGCCTCCCCGATGTCCGGATACGAGCGAATGGGGCGCGGCGCGCGCACGATGCGCGCGGACGCGCGGGCGGAGGCGGCGGAGTGCGGAGCGGGGGAAGCGGGAGGAGGCGCGGCGGGGTCGTCCGCGAAGGAACGAAGCGACGAATCGGACGGAAACGCGGAGGCTGATGATGGTGATGATTGCTGTGGTTGAAAGTCCATGCATCGGCGCAGCAGGATGGCGGTGTAGCAACAGGCGGCTGCGAAGAAGAGGAGAACGAGCAGGCCCAGCCAGCCGGCTTGCGCCGTGGCGTAAGGTGTTGAGAGAATGCCGATGCCTGTGGGGGAGGGAAGAGCGGGGGGGGTGGGGGAGAAGGGGGTAGGGGGGAGGGATGAAGAGGGTAGGGGGGATGGATGAGGAGGGTAGGGGGAAAAATAGGGAGCGCAAGAGGATCCAATACATTTCAATTTTATTCACCTTGCTGGTTCATTATTGTTTTCAACTTCCCAGTTTTTCAGAATACAAACGCCCCAAAGACTTACTATTGTACAAAGGGTCACTCACCTGCGAGAACATTAATGCCGTTAAATACGCTGTCGATAAACCCGCTATTTCCCCTGTGTTCGATCCGCCGATACTCCTCCTCGCCTCTTATTCTCTTCGCGAGCCCCGCTTCTCCCGCGCAGCCAACCTCGCCCGCGGCGCGTTCAACATCCTTCCCATAAAAAAGGTCCGAGTCCGAGTCGCCTCTTCCCGCGGCCGCTTTATCACCCAGCAAGGGAGCTTCGAGACCCTCTTGCGTCTTGTACACGACAGACCCGAACCGAGAGTTTCCTCGCGACTCGGTGACTTTCCGCATTTGCGGCTCGCCGCTTGGAAGCGGACGGTAGCGGTCTGAGTCGACTGTGACTGTATCGAGTGTGACTGCGACCGATCCGGAAGACTCCATCCTTGTATCGGTGCCAAAGCACGAGTGCTGCTGGAGGTGTGGGGGCATTGTAGCGAGAAAAGCGCCGGCGCCTGCTGTGCCGGCTGTTCTTCTTGTTATATAATCACGCGCCGTGAGAAAACGGCGCGATTGAGGATTAACCTTAATCACGCAACCTCTGCGTAAACCCCTGGCCTATCCCGAAGTTCCCTGGTACACCGTGTAGGCTTCTCCTCTCGCACGAAATCACTTGAACACGTTTAGAGAAAAGCAAGCCTGTGATGGCAAAGACAGCTAGCTTCTCAGGTACGCTATAGCGAACAGGTGGTTGTATCAGCGGCGAACGCGCAAACAAGCGATCAAGCTTTTAATCGACAAATTTAGATTGAAACTCAAACTGATAGGAACTGACGTGCTTGACGAATAAAAGACGAATATACAAGTCTCGAGAACAACGCGCGGGAAATTCGGGAACTAGAATCTTGATGTGAACACTAGCGCCTCCTGTCAGTGCTGACGTAACACCTTCGTTGCACCCGTGTTTCCAGAAAATACGTCTTTTGCAGTGACATGGACAAGCTAGATGTTGACGCGTAGCACATCAGCATCTTGCTTGTGCTTTCTGAGAGGTCCACGGTGGATTCCGTGAGACGAAAGCGCCGAATGCAGTGGTCTTCCAGAACCCTGGGATGCTCGCGATCTGGCTTGTCCAGCATTGCAAAGAATTTTCTGAACGAATCACGGAAAATGCGTGAATTCAAATCAACCCCTCTTGCTTCCACCAGTCATGAGTGTGCCAGTCACGCGCCTCGAAATTGGATAATTTTGGCCCTCGAGGACGTGGGAGGGGTGCGGAAAAACGGGGAGGTACTGTATGACAAACTGATCAATAACTCAGTAATAGCTGCCTCGTTTCCTCTGGACGATTGCAGAAATATAGTAATATGTAGTAGGGTATCTACGTTACCAAGCTATGGTAAGTTGTTAATGGTAAATTCCAGGATTTGCGTGCATCCTTCCAAGTTCCCCAAACGTGTCGACCAACTTCGGACAAGTCGCGTCAAGCCCCGCCGCCGTTGCCGGTCCGATTAGCCGGCTAGAATGGCCGAAGTGCAAGAGCTAGTTGGCTTCTTACTCTCGCCGCGACCAGAGGTACACCTCTATCTCCAGAAGTACTTGTCTATCACACGCTACTGACTCATTACACCTCTAGCACAGTCTACTGAGTCTTATCACTTGATCATGCCGATCGGGTCAAATCAAGCGTCACCGTCTTGCTCTCGCCATGACCAGGGGTTCCCTTAAAGCTTCGTCGTATGTACCTTCGCATTCCCGTGATGTTCCTGTCGGGTGAACAAGAGATAACGTAGACAACCGTTCAACGCTTTCTTCTTGTCATGCCGTCCGTCCTGTAATGTAACGAGCCCTTTCTCCCCGTTAGGTCTCGTCAGTTCCACTCACCCTCTTAGCTCTCTCTCGTTGTTCAGCTTCACGATTCTAGACCCGAAACCCGAAACCCATCTGATCCCCCTTAAACCCTTCCGATCTTCTCTCCAAAAGGTCAGTGCCCCCATTACCCATCCGCCAACTCCTACTCCTTCCCCCTACCCCCCCCATCCCGCCATCCCAGGTGCAGCGCATGGCAGTGGGCATTGTAGCTGGCCTCACATGCTCAGACGAGGGTCTCAGCAAACTGTTACCGCTTTTGTAACCTCTCTGTCGCTGCTCCCTCTCTCCCCCTACCCCCCCATCCATCCATCCCAGGTGCAGCGCATGGCAGTGGGAATAGTGGCTGGCCTAACCGGCTCAGAAGAGGGTCTCAGCAAACTGTTACCAGAGGCTGACGTCATAGCCGCTGCCCTGCTGCCGCTGCTCTCAGCCAATAAGGTGCGGCCCACGTCCCTCCCCACTCTTCCCTATGGTTCCTCACCCATCCCCTCGACCCAAACGCGTGCTGCCATCTGCTCAGGCCCTAAGTGAACCACGCTGAGCCTGAGGTGTACAAGGGAGGGACTCATAAAGGCCAGCGTCAGGGCAAGGCAAGCAGTCATAAAGGCCAGTGTCAGGCAGGGCAAGCATTCACATCACAAGGGGCCATGTAAGCGTTTATGCTTCCTCACCCATCCCCTCTATCCAAACGTGTGCTGCCATCTGCTCAGGTTCTTGTCATATCATGTGAACCCCTTGTTCCTTCTCAGGCTCTCAAGTTTTGAGGCGCCTCAAAACTAAGTTTCTCACCCATCCCCACCCCTATCCAAACCTATGCTGTCAACTGCTCAGGCCCTTGTGATATGATCCCCTTGTTCCTTCTCAAGCGCTCAAGTTTTGAGGCGCCTCAAATCTAAGTTTCTCACCCATCCCCACCCCGATCCAAACCTATGCTGTCATCTGCTCAGGCCCTTGTCATATGATCCCCTTGTTCCTTCTCAAGCGCTCTCCATCCTTTCAGCACAGCGTGGTAGCATTTTCAAGGCACCTGGACAAAACAAAAGGCCCTTGTGATAGGATCCCCTTGTTCCTTCTCAGGCTCCTCGCAATCCTTTCGGCACGGCATGGCAGCAACAGCAACCCCTTGTTCACTCTCTGACAATTTATTCCCCTTGCCCGCCTTTCGCTCTCCCCCCCCCCACTTCGTCACACACCTCCCTCATTCCCTCTCTCAGCAACTCTCCCTGCCGGCCGCTCAGCTCAAGCCTTGGCGAATCTGTTTCAGTACAGTGTGGCAGCAGCAGCATCCGCTTGGTCTCTCTGACATTCTTCCCCCCCATTTCTCTTCTCTACGCCCCTTCTCCCACACCTCCGTAGTTCAGGAAATATCCCTCCCATCCGCTCAAGCTTTGGTGAACCTGTCCCAGCACGATGTGGCAGCAGCAGCAACCCTTGGTCTTTCTCATATCCCATCCCCCCCCTCTCGCTCTCCATCTGCTTCTAGCAGGAAATCTCCCTCCCATCCGCTCAAGCTTTGGTGAACCTATCTCAGCACGACGTGGCAGCAAAGGCTGTGATTAAAGCGAGGGGCGTGGAGACAGCAGGGGGGATGGCCGTGGGGCGCGGGGGAGCAGCAGGAGGAGGAGGAGGGAAGGGGAAGAATGCGGGGTTGATGGTGATGCTTCTCGCGAATCTGACTCAGCTGGACGAAGGAGCAGAGAAGCTTCTTGAGGTGAGATCTATGGGGGGGAAATGGGGCATTTGGGAGGAGCAGGGGCAGCAGGAGGGGGAGGAACAGGGGGAGGAAAGCGGGGAGGAGGAGCGGGGAAGGGGAAGAATGCGGGGTTGATGGTGATGCTGCAGGCAATTCTGACTCAGCTGGACGAAGGAGCCGAGAAGCTTCTTGAGGTGAGAATTATGGGGGTTGGTTGGTGAGCATAGGGGAGCAGGAGGGGGAGAAAGAAGGGGAGGAGGAGGAGAAGGGAAAAACGAGGGGTACCGAGTCTGACTAAAACTAGAAGAAGGGCTGCGAAGTGAGTGCGAAGCATGGTAAGGTTCTTGTTCCCCTCTCCGTCTCGTCTCGTGCATTGAGTTGATTTTTGAGGCGCCTGCATGGTGAGGCAAAACATGGTGAGGTTCCTGCTCCTCTCTCTGACTCGTTTTTTTGAGCCGCTCAAAACATGTGAGTTTACTTCTGAGGCTCCCCAGAAGTGAGTGCGAAGCATGGTGAGGTTGTTTTTGAGAATTCTCAAAAACTCTCTGACTCGTTTTTTGAGCCGCCTCAAAACATGTGAGTATTGAGGCTCCCCAGAAGTGAGTGCGAAGCATGGTGAGGTTCATGTTCCTCTCTCCGTCTCGTCTCGTCTCACTCCCACTCTTCCCACTTCTATTCTTCCTACTCAGACACCCCTTCTTTTCCCCCTTCCCCCTCCCCTTTCTTTCCCTTCCCTTCTGCTCTCCATTGGCCCGCTTTGAATCATCCAGCCCAGTGGGTCCGTGCCTCTCCTCGCCTCCCTCACAAGGCGATTTGCGATGAGTGCCGACAGGGTGGAGGGGCAGGAGGACGAGTACGAGCACGTGGCCACCATTCCCCTGTCAATGCTGCTCTGTATCGACAACCCTACAAAACAGCTCTCCTTCCTTTTCTCCTTCTCGCCCATTCCCCTCCCTCCGCCCTCCCCTTCCCCCCATTGAATCCAGCCCAGTGGGTCCGTGCCTCTCCTCGCCTCGCTCACAAGGCGATTCGCCATGAGTGCCGACAGGGAGGAGGGGCAGGAGGACGAGCACGAGCACGTGGCCACCATTCCCTTGTCAATTCTGCTCAATCCTGCTTAATCCTGCTCGATTGGAAAGGAACTTGCCGGGAAGGTGCATCTTCAACTGCACAAAACACCCTCCCTCTTCCTCTTCTCCTTCCCCACACCACCCCTCGCCCCGTTGAATCCAGCCCAGTGGGTCCGTGCCTCTGCTCGCCTCCCTCACAAGGAGATTCGCTACAAGTGCCGACAGGGAGGAGGGGGAGGAGGACGAGCACGAGCACGTGGCCACCATTCTAGTCAACGCCACGCGGCTGGAAGCTGCCAGGAAGCTGCTTCTGGACCCGGAAAAGAAGCTTCTAAGACAGATCCTGCCTCAAACGTCGTCTTCAAATCGAATCCGCAGCCAAGGGGTAAGTGAGTGAGTTAAAGAGTGCATCAACAAAGAGTGCATTAATAAAGAGTGCATCAATAAAGAGTGCATTAATAAAGAGTGCATTAATAAAGAGTGCATCAATAAAGAGTGCATTAATAAAGAGTGCATTAATAAAGAGTGCATTAATAAAGAGTGCATTAATAAAGAGTGCATCAATGAAGAGTGCATTAGTAAAGAGTGCATTAATAAAGAGTGCATTAATAAAGAGTGCATTAATAAAGAGTGCATTAATAAAGACTGCATCAATAAAGAGTGCATTAATAAAGAGTGCATTAATAAAGAGTGCATCAATAAAGAGTGCTTTTATAAAG